ACCCTAGCCCAGGGCTGGGCAATTGTGGCTCTTTTACAACGTTTGGACTTCAACTCCCGCCGAGCCCATTCTGGGGAATTGTGGAGAATTCTGGGAGTTGAAGTCCACAAGTCTTAAAGCTGCCAAGGTGGGAGACATCAAGCATGAGGCTGGCCAAGTATCCTCCTTGAGAGACAACAGTTGAACATCAGGAGAGCTGTAAGTGGGCAGGGCTACATTTGGAAATTTTCGCATTTTTGCAGGTGGTGCATTACGATCTGGTGTCTGCAATGGAGAGCAAAATCCGGCTTCTTCTCTCCGCTGTAAGGGCGGCATCAGGATTCCACCTTGGTATATTTGCAGCACAAGGCAGCCCTCCTCTCCTGTCGCTTGGGACTCGGAGCGGTAAACAGCGTCTGGTTCGGGGAGCAGCCGGATTTTGCTCTCCATTGCTCTCTCGGCCCCCTGCAAGCTCTCGTCTCTCGAGGAACGCTCCCTGAAATGGCGCGGGAAACTTTGGTTGGGGCTTCTCGAGAGATGAGAGCTTGCAGGGGACCGAGAGAGCAATGGAGAACAAAATCCGGCTGCTCCCTGAACCAGACGCTGTTTACCGCTCCGAATCGGCAGGAAACGAGGGCTGCCTTGCGCCGCAAATATACCAAGGTGTTTTTTTTTAAAACACTGATCAGCTGTAGGTCGGCCCTTTGAAGCCCCGCGGCAAGAGTTCAAACAGTTTTTTTTCCCTCTAGCCATCAGCGGGGACTCAGGAGGCAGAATGAAAAATCGGGACTTTTTTAAAACGCCGCGGGACACGGGACAAATTGCTCAAAAGCGGGACTGTCCCGCCAAAAGCGGGACGTCTGGTCACCTTATCCAAATAGGGACATATGTTATAAGTACATTATTTTTTATAGCTCTTAGTTATTCTATAGATGTTTCATCTCAGCCACTCAAAATCCCTTTGCTGGTCAGTAAATATCAGCTCATACTGGAGATTTTTTCAGATGTTTTCCATAGTTTAATTGAACAATGATTTTACATGATTTACTTGCTTGCTTGCTTGCCTGATTTATCATTTTTGCTGTAATTATAGAAGATTTTTGTTGGTTCTGTGGGCGTGACTTGGTGGGGGGGGTAATGTGACTGGGTGGGCGTGGCCAACTTTTTTTTCCTTTTAAAAGTATTTTTTCTACAACCAAAAGGCTCTGACGATCCCAGCTGAGCCGCGCGATCATCAGAGTCTTTTTTTTTTACTTTTAAAAGCATTTTTCCAGCCGAAGAGGTTGTAGAAAAAATGCTTTTAAAAGTAAAAAAAAAAAAAAAAGGCTCAGCTGGGCATGGGGGGGGGCAGAGATTTTTGCTACCGGTTCTGCAAACCACCCGCCACCATTGCTACCGGATTGGGTGATGTCAGAGGAAAAACCTCTGAGCATTTTGCTGCAACCAATTGATTGTGGTTAGTTTGAATGAACCAATCAGAGCACAGCTTCCTGGCTCTGAGTTTCCTGTGCTTTCCAATGGTCAGTTGGTCAGCATATAAGTAGCAGCAGAACTGCAGCCACTTCAGAGACTCCGAGATGCTGAGAGGCTCTGAAAGCTGACAGAGAACTCAGAGCGAGGGCTCCAGAGAGCTGAGAGAGCCTCAGAGAGATACTCACAGCAGAGCAGAGAGAGATTCCTCAACGAGCAGAGCTTCCCTCAATGCCAGAGATTGGAACTCTGAATCAGCTGAGAACTGAGACAGCTGAGAACAGCCGAGAGTCTCCAGAGCTGAAGTTACGGCAAAGAGCTGAGTCACTGCCTTGCTCCTGAGAAGACTTGCAGGAGAAGATTAACAAACAACACAGAGGACCTCCCACCTTTGGGAAGAAGATTAGAGCTAATGGACTTTGCTGAGAGGAGAATCTTTTAGGCTGCTGATGCCTTCTTGTAGGTTTGTTTTTATGTGTTTTTCTACTATTAAATTATTTACCTTTTTAAGACTCCTCTCTCAACTTGCATGCTTTAGTGTGTTTGTGTGTGTATCGGGCCACGGTCCATTCGAACCCAGAACCTCCTTCACTGGTGATCCGGTCCAAACCAGGGGCATTTTTTTAAAAATTTGATTTATATGCCGCCCTTCTCCGGAGACTCAGGGCAGCTTACATATGCGTTAAGCAATAGCCTTCATACTTTTGTATATTTATACAAAGTCAGCTTATTGCCCCCACAAACTGGGTCCTCATTTCATCTACCTTAGAAAGTATGGAAGGCTGAGTCAACCTTGAGCCTTGGAGAGATTCGAACCAGCAGTAATTGCAGGCAGCTGTGTTAATAATAGGGTGCTTAGACCACTGTACTATCAAGGCTCTTTCACCTCTGCCTTAAACAGTTTCTGAGTTTGGGCAACACACTAAGCCATAACCTAACCACATAGGTCTGGATTCACCCAACATTTAGTGATAAAATGTGGTTGGCTGACACACTAAAACTGAAGTGGCTCTAATGTGTTATATGAACATGATTGTTGTGTGAGGAATGTCTTTTGTATGTGATTGCTTGGATCACATTGTGAAAAATGCTGAGTTTTCAATGAATTTTCTTTCTGATGACATATTAAGAAATACACAGATGTTACACACAGGTTGGCACACAGGTTGATTTAGGTGGTTTTCACTCATGGGCATGAGCTACTAACTGATGGGAACAAAAATGATGGGACATGGCATATCATCATAAACCTTACCCTCTCATATATAGTCTTCACATTCAGCGGCACTCACTCTTGCCTGCTGAAACATTTCTTCCCTTACAACTTAAGGATGTGTAAGTGACAATATTTGCATCACACTGTCACAACTCATGTTTCACCATAAGCCTTCTCCTTTACGGAAGCCTGTGAAATATCTGCCATAGCAAAACAAATATTGGGAAACATCCTTAGATCTGGCCAAACCACAATCTATTTACTCTAAAATTGTCCATTCCAGCCTTTCCCAATCTTCAGGTATACAAACACGACAACTCTCCAAATACCCAACAAAGGGAAATGCTACATTGGCCTTCTGTGATTTATAATTCGCAGCATAGGAGGATAATAAGAATCTATGGAAGTGCTCTCCAGGCCTTTCAGCAAATGAAGGATCCAATCGAGGGGTGAAATCCAGCAGGTTCTGACAGGTTCTGAAGTGGAAATTTTGAGTAGTTCGGAGAACCGGCAAATACCACATCTGGCTGGCCCCAGAGTGGGGAGGGAATGGGGATTTTGCAGTATCCTTCCCCTGCAACACCCACCACACCAAGCCCACCAAGCCCCGCCCACAGAACCAATATTAAAAAAAATCTGGATTTCACCACTGGTCTGATCTAAGCGTAATACAATTATCTGCCACAATGTCCTACCTTTATTGAATTGAATATGAAGTATTCAATGAATATTTCAGCTTCAAGCACAACAATACACGAGCACACAATAGATACAAACTGAAGGTACGACTTCAGCAACAGAGTGGTCAATGTCTGGAATGCACTACCTGACTCTGTGGTTTCTTCCCCAAACCCCCAAAACTTTAACCTTAGACTGTCTACTGTCGACCTCACCCCATTCCTAAGAAGTCTGTAAGGGGTGTGCATAAGCGCACCAGCGTGCCTACCGTCCCTGTCCTAATATTCCCTTTTATTTGTATCCATTTCATGTATACGTAGTTATGTTTATACTTATATCTGTTATCTAATACATGCTTAATGAAATAAATAAATGAAATGAAATGAAATGAAATTCAATGGTGAAAAATGTAAGGTTCCACATTGAGGCAAGAAAACCAAAATGCACAGGTACAGTACAGGGGTGGGTTCTACTTATCTTTACTACCGGTTCGGAATGAGATCTTTGCTCGCGCACACTCCTTGCTTCTGTGCATGCACAGATCACCAATGACAACATGCGGGGCAGTGGGCAGGGCCTCTCACGGTTTTACTACCAGTTCTTGCAAACCGGTCTGAATTGGGGGCAACCCACCATTGGTACAGTGTATGCACCAAAATGCACTGGTACAGTACAGGGGTGGGTTCTACTTACCTTTACTACTGGTTCGGAATGGGATCGCGCCCGCTCAATCTTTGTTCACTCATGCTCCTTGCTTCTGTGCATGGGCAGATCACCAATGATGACATCTGGGGCAGTGGGCGGGGCCTCTTACCAGTTTTACTACCAGTTCTTGCAAACCAGTCTGAACCGGGGGCAACCCACCACTGGTACAGTGTATGTCCGTGATGGTGAACCTATCAGGCCCGAAAATCAGCTGGCGAATTTCTAGGTTGTCTAAGCTCAAAATTTCAAGTCTGGTGGCATAAGGTATTCTGTTGCAGGTAGTGGAGTGGAGGATTCTTCTCGTGAAATATCTCTGGACTCATACGATTGTATTAATGTCCAATATGTAGTGCAGGTTCCAGACAGATGAGCTGTATTCAAGAATTTGAATCTGAAAACGGACCATTTGCCAACTTCCGGTCCCACCAGAAGTTGGCAAACGGGCCATTTCTGGCCTCCAGAGGGCCTCCAGAGGATGTGGGGAAGGCCATTTTCGCCCTCCCCAGACTCCTAGAGAGGCTCTGGTGGCTGGGGACAGCAAAAAATGGGCCTTCCCCACCACCGCCCGAGGCCCTCTGGAGGCAGGAAACAGCCTGTTTCCCTACTTCTGATGGGCCCAGAAGGCCCAAAAACCAGTTGGCCGGTGCACGCGTGCGCACTGAAGCTGAGCTCGCATGCCCACTGATATGGTTACGTGTGCCATCTGTCACACATGTGTCATACGTTCACCATCACGAACCTAGAATATCAAACCTGCCCATGTATTAGATTTAAGGAGCTCAGCTCTATGAAAAAGCTATGTGAGTTATTACGTTATAGCAAAATTTGGCAGAATTCCTGTTTCCTTTATTTGTTTTTCCATATTGCATCACATTCTTATATTATTGTTGTAAGGTCTGGCTATGCGCTTAAACCAACAATGAGCCAAAAGAACTGAAGCGGAGGCTTGTGAGAAAGAATCAGCATTTAATTTTAATGAAAAGTAGAAAGCTGGGTAAACATATACAAAAAGAGACATGTAAGGAAAGGCGACACCTCAGAGAAGGTATGGCATCCTTTTTATACTGTTAGAAACACCAGTTAAATCCCCAATTCCGGCCTCCTAATTTAGGTTTGTATCCAATAGCCCTGCAAAGGATAGATGCCTCTTATTTATCCTTGAGTATTCCTTTGTTCTCCCAATTGGCCACTAGGCCCCCTGGTGCTGCAGGGAAGGAAACTGAGCGCCCAACAACACAGATCAAAGGTGTAAATTAGGGCTGAGGTGTAAGTTATCCCCCGGATGATGTATGCAGCTCCAAACTGATATAAGTACCAAGCTTTGGATGGCAGAAGACAGGAATAAGATTGATGTGGATTCAACTTGATGGCAGGAACATATGTTTGGCAAACTCCAGATACTTTACAGAGGCCTAATACAGCATATGTTTGTTGCAGGAAGTTTCTTACAGGAAATACAAATACAAGGGCATAATGTAGCATATATATGTGTTACAGGAAACAAATGTTTACAGAATAACAAGTTTCTACTAATTTTAGGATTCCAGTATATTATATTCTACTATTATTTATCATATCCTTATTACTATTTCCCTTCATTGTGAAAATAAAATGATTTTTATCCTAAGAAGTCAAACAGTACTTATTACTAGGTTCTTTTTGAGGGAGCAGAATTGATTAAAAGCCTCTCTCAAATCAAGATATAACAAGTTACTCCAAGAAATTTATTATTTGAACAGCAAAAGTGATGTGGGTTTTAGTTGTCTCCTTATTTGTCTTCCAAGTTCCCACCAGTAGGTCCCTGAATCATCATTTGCCGAGTCTTGATTGATTCCTGAGAGAAATAAACATACAACCGTTATTCTGAAACCACCAAAACCGTAGCTAGGTTTTCAAATGGTGCCTTTGAGAAATGGATGCCATTTTCAAAGAGGTTCAACCTAAGTGGCAGCCCTTCATAGTAGGCCAGTTCAAGACACAGGCAAAGCAGAGATTCCAGGATGATCTTCTCTGTAGTAAGATAATTTTATTTATTTTGGTTTATTATATGTATTTCGCCTTTATTATTTTTTACAAATAACCCAAGGTGGAGAACATAACCCACCCTCCTTCCTTCTCCTATTTTCCCAACAAGAAAACCCTGTGAGTTGAGTTGGGCGAGGGAGAGTGTCTAGTCTAAAGTCAGCTTATTTAGTATAAATAGTATTTAGTATATGGTTTTTGAGATTACGGCACCAGGGCTAACGTTACCAGACTGTGAGTTCTAATTCTACCTTTCTGACTTTCATGGCTAAGGTAGGATTAGAACTCACAGTCTTCTGATGTCTAGCCTGGTGCCTTAATCTTAACCTTAAAGGTCCACCTAAGGTGCTCTGTATTCCCCTTATACTAAACATGGACAGGTTTGTGGAATCAAAATGCAGGACCCAAAGCAGGTAATCAAGGTTCGCTGCAGTATTTACTGTTTTTGTTTGTGTGCACTGGAGAAATTCCCTCGAGAAAATAGTGGGAGGAACTCTTGCAGAGAAAAGGATGCTGTCAGGCTTGTCCCAGCTTGGATGTTTAGGAAAGAAAGACCCTCGAATCCATTTGTAACAAAAGGGACACTTTTACTAAAGTCAAGTGGTTACAGCGCAAGAAAAGTTGGATCTGAGTATTCCTACGCAAAGCCTGCCTTCTCCCCTTCTCCCAGGTCCTCCCATCTTGACCAGTTTTAAGACTCCAATAATATTAGGAGTTTTGGTAACAGCGTTAAGGTTTGGTGCTTCTTTGGTGGAGTTTCACATTCCATTCTCATGCTCATGTTATTGGATCAGCCGACCTGTTCCAGATTGACACCTCTGGTTTCTGTCGTCCTGTCATCCCCCTTCCCTACGTCCCCATTCTCCCTCCCCCTCACTGCATTTTATCACAAGATGCCAGTGAAGTGAAGTAGGCTGAAGTCATTACAATGGCAGACCTCACAGATTCATTCATATTTATACATTTCAAAATGGAGGGGGATTTATATGCATGCATACAGATTGGTAATTAATAATCTAACTGATCTCAAGTTACTTCCTGCCCTTCTGTTACCTAGAGAGGACAATGGTCTTCGTTAGAAGAAATATTTGCATCTTGAGATTCAGGGGTGCCTATGGGAATGTTCTGATAACATTTATCACTGGGCTACAAGGACACATTCCCAGTGTCTCCATATGTCTATTAAATAGTCTCATTCATATGAAAACTGATTTCCCCCACAAGCTGAGTTTCATTCTCATGCTTTCTCTTTCTCAGCACTGCATAATCTTCTCTGTAAGTTACTCTTGGTGGCTCATTCCTTCCTTCCCTATGCCCAAGATCTGTATTTGTTTATGCTGAGATCTAGAGGTTTCTCCAGGTTCCTCTTCCACAAAAGTGCTACTTAAAAATGATTTGGAATGCTGATGTGAAATTACTATTTAGAAAGAACCCTTCTGAAATCATCCATCTTGATCCCGATTGCTGGCCGTTACTACAACCAAGCACTGAATTCCTACCTGCTGTCTTCTTCCTAGTCCGGTGAAACAGAATCACCTTTGGACTGCTCTGCAGAAGAAAGAAAAATGAAATATCAAGATAATATTGATATTTGAAATCATCCGTGGCTTTGGGGTGAACTACCACCAGTACGCTGATGACACCCAGCTGTACATCTCCACCCCAGGCCACTCCAACAATGCCCTTGAAGTGATGTCCCAGTGCCTGGAGGCTGTGTGGATCTGGATGGGGAGGAACAGGCTCAAGCTCAACCCTTCCAAGACTGAGTGGCTGTGGTTCCCAGCATCCCGATATAGTCTGTTGACTCCATCACTGACTATTGGGGGCGAGTCTCTGGCCCCCACGGAGAGGGCTCGCAATCTGGGAGTCCTCCTGGATATGCAACTGTCCTTGGAGGAACATCTGATGGCTGTAGCCAGAGGGACTTTTTGTCAGGTTCGCCTGATCCGCCAGTTGCGGCCCTTTCTTGATCGGGATTCCCTGTGCACAGTCACTCACACCCTCGTCACCTCTCGCCTGGACTACTGTAATGCTCTCTACATGGGGTTTCCCTTGAAGTGCACCCGGAGGCTCCAATTGTTTCAGAATGCAGCCGCGCGGGTAGTTACAGGAGCTGCATGGCGCTCCCACACAACACCTCTCCTGAGTGAGCTGCACTGGCTCCCAGTGGTCTTCCGGGTGCACTTCAAGGTGTTGGTTATCACCTTTAAAGCACTCCATGGCATAGGACCTAGTTATCTTCGAGACTGCCTGCTGCTACTGACGGCCTCCCATCGACCTGTGCGCTCCCACAGAGAGAGCCTCCTCGGGGTGCCATCAGCCAAACAATGTAGGCTGGTGACCCCCAGGGGGAGGGCCTTCTCTGTGGGGGCACCTACCCTCTGGAATCAGCTGCCCCCAGAGATAAGGAGAATCCAAGACCTCGGTGGCTTTCGCTGTGCCCTTAAAACCTTCTTTTTCCAGCAAGCCGGGCTGGCTTAACAATTTTTTAAATGTTTTTTTAATTGGTTTGTCATTCTTTTAATTGGGGCCAAACAGATATATATCCTTTTAATTGTATTTTAATGTTTGTAGTTGATGTTTTTATTTTGGCTGTACACCGCCCTGAGTCCCCCAGGAGAAGGGCGGTATATAAATTCAATATAAAATAAAATAAAATAAATAAAATAAGGAGTACATCTTATCACTAAAGAATCTGAATCTAGAAGTAGGATTCTGAGGATTCCATGATTCATGGCATAATTTATATTTATTAACTATATATCAAAATATTATTGTTTGTCATATGGTCAGCCAGATGTTTAGATTGGATGTGACATTTTTTGCCCGCCAACTCTGTCCTTCCCAAAAAGCTGGGATGGGCAGATATTTCCAGGATGCAATCTGTTCCAAGTAAAGCTGCCTTTTGCAATTGACTGAGAGGGATTTTGTCAATGACGATGGTGGTCAAGAAGTGATCCAGATGTTTTGGGATTTGTTATTGTTGTTGTTGTTATTGTTGTTGTTATCTTTATGTGAGCAACTAAGGTTTACTTAGAGGACATTACTAGAGGCCCAGCTCTTGGGACGTCATGGATTATGCTCGCTCTACAAAATTTTTCACTAGCATTACAAAATTGTAATCAAATGAGTATGTTTCAGCAAAGACTGGCAATAAAATCAATTTTTAGAAATTGCTCCATGAATGAAATGGGCGATCTCTATATTTGATATATACATGATTTTTAAAAACATCTTTTTCATCAACCGCTACTCCCTTCAAAAGGCAGAACTAATAGCTGAACTTACGTGTCTCTTCAGCCTTTGAAAAAAGGCTCTTTAAAAAATCACAGTGCTCTATCACCCTTTCCTGGAATGGCTCAGTATTAAGAAGGAAGAAATTCTGCTCTGCGGCATTATAGAGTGGCCACTCATCCTTGCTGGTTGCTGACCCAGTGGGATTCCTAAGCAGGAAGAAAAGGACATTGATGGAAACTAATCAAGAGGAAAACCTACCTAGAAATAAGGAGAAATTTCCTGACAGTGAGAACAATTGATCAGTGGAAGAGCTTGCCTTCAAAAGCTATGAGTGCTTCATCACTGGAGGTTTTTAAGAAGAGATTGGACAGCCACTTGTCCAGAGTGGAATAGGGTCTCCTGCTTCAGTAGGAGTTTGGACTAGAAGACCTCCAAGGTCCCTTCCAACTCTGTTATTCTGATGTAACTCTTTTCCAAAGAGACTGGTTTTGACTTGAGAAACTACAACCAAGGGGAACTCCCAAAGGGGACTTTGAGGGAGGGGTGGAGTTTGGCTTGGTGAAATCTCTTGTGTCTCCTCCTAGCTGATCCAAACCCAGGTCAGCTCCTCATAGACACTTCGAACTGCTAGTCCCAATCCATTCCCCCATTTCTCACACCCTGGGCACCCACCATCTTGTGAGTTTCCCCTTCGCTATTTACTCCCTTGCAAGCCTTTGCTCGTTCTCTTAATGGTAGAGTAATGCTCTGTTTCTTATCTCCCTTTTGCCTCCTTTATTCCACTTGGAGAAATAATGTACCCTGGAATATGTGTGATACCACTAAACTCATTAAAAAACAATGATCTGTAAGTGACATTATTAAGAATCCTTAAAAATTTCAGGGCTGTTTCCAGTACAGGTTGTCCTTGATTTACAACTATTCACTTAATGTCCATTCAAGGTTACAATGGCACCGAAAAAAGTTCTTACAACTGTTCCTTGCACTTATGATTCATTTAACAACTGTCTTGCTTAGCAACAGAAATTCTAGTCCCAACTGTGGTTGTAAATCATGAACTACTTGTATTAACACAACCTGTAAACATAAGCAAAGCAATAGCGTGCATTACTTTATGGCTTCATTGCTTTAGATATAAAGTGCATTTGTTGAATGTGGGAGGGAGGGCTTCCTTTGGATTTAAAATACAATTTTTTGAAATAAAGTGAACCACTGACCCTGTTCTGGCAAACTCTGCCCAGTAGTGCATCATCTTACGGCTCAGTCTGGCTTCAGCCTCTGTGTATGTTTGATTGACGGAGAGCACTGATTTAAAGGTTCCAAAAACAAAAGGAATCTCAGCAGCGTGAGTTGGCCCAATCCATTCAGGCCAAACTGACCATGAAGGGCGATGTGCGAATAAATAGGCATATACAGGACTCCCACTTTTCCTGATATTTCCTGCAGCTTCTCTCAATGGGCATACAAATACCCGATCTGTATAGAAGTGGGACAGAGCGGAGCGATATTGTGCTGGGCCGTGATTTCCTTCACTGTATTTCAGTGCAATAGTCCGAATAAAATCTTCAGTTGAATTTGGCACCAACAGCTGTATCCCTTTCAGAAGCTGCTCCTGATTGATGAGATTTTGGGTGGTGTTAGGGAAAACAGTGTGGACATATGAAGCAGCTTCATCAGAGGTTTCACCTATGAGGACAGGTTTGGCCTGAAATTGCCCCGCTTCCATGAGCTTTTCTGGATCGCCAAGCAAAAACTCCCCATCTGTGGTTGGCCTGAAGGGAATATTCAAAACGAAGCCACCTTTCAAGTACAGAGCTATTTCATGCTGAATAAGTTCAGAAACAGTTTTTGTTTGCAGGCAATGCACGATGCTGATATTATTGTCCTTGGAACAACCTAGCAGATGAACAAATTCCAGGGATTTTTGTTTGGCTTCCTCAGGAGACCTCCAAGCCCAGAAGGCATTGGCTGTTCCACTCTGGATCACCGCTTGGGCAAAAAGGTCCTGGCTTTTTGGTGCAAGAAGTTGGAGATTCACACAAGATCCTCCAGCACTCTGGCCAAAAATGGTCACCCGAGAAGGATCTCCCCCAAAGGCAGCTGCATTCTTTTTTACCCACTTCAGGGCCAGCTGTTGGTCCCATAAGCCAAGGTTCCCTGGAGCAGCTGGTGGCAAGTACAGAAAACCCAGGGCTCCCAAGCGATAATTGATGGTGACCACAATGACGTTCTCAGTGGCAGCCAAAGGTGCCCCATTGAACACGTCCACAGAAGACGTGCCGAATAAATATCCCCCTCCGTGTATCCAGACCAAAACAGGGACTGGGGAAGAAGGTTGTGGGTGTGGCACCCAGATGTTGAGGGAAAGGCAATCTTCTGACAGTGGTGTTTTAGGAGACCATATATCTGCTTCAGGGACATCCCGGGAAATAAATTGAGGGCAGGAATTGCCAAAACTGGTGGCCTCCAATGTTTGCTTCCATGGCGGATGTGGAAGAGGTTTCTGGAAACGCAACTTCCCCAGAGGAGGCTCAGCATAAGGAATGCCTAGATAGGCTGTCACAGATCCAATGCCAGCCAGGATGTGCTTGCCCTTAATAGGGCCACTGGTGGTTCTGACCACTGTGTCTCCTTTTGAAGGAGAACTGGAGCCTAATGGAAAGGGAAGGAGGAGGAGGAGGCAGCCCAAGAGAGACGGGCATAGCAGACAAGGCATTGCAACTGTAGGACGAGTCGGTGGACCTGGAAAAAGTTACAACTGATATGAGATTATTCCAATATTGTATAAGCACACCTTATAGGTTCTCCAGCTTGATCAGGGGGCTGGACTAGAATACCTCCAAGGTCCCTTCCAGATCTATTCTATTCTATTCTATTCTATTCTATTCTATTCTATTCTATTCTATTCTATTCTATTCTATTCTATTCTATTCTATTCTATTCTCTGCGGGGCTGTCAAGAGAAGAGGGGATTGGCTTATTCTCCAAAGCACCTGAGGGCAGATAACGGATGGAAGCTTATTAAAGAGAGATCCAACCTAGAATTAAGGAGAAATTTCCTGTCAGTGAGAACAATTTAATTAGTGGAACAGCTTGCCTCCAGAAGTTGTGGGAAGAGATTGGACAGCCATTTGTCTGTCATTGTATATAGGATCTTCTGCTTAAGCAAGAAGTGGATTAGAAGACCTCCAAGGTCCCTTCCAACTCAGATATTCTCTAACTCTGTAAACTTTAAAAACGTTTTTTATCTTTCCAGAATTTTGTTCCATTGTACGAAATGAGATTTATTGCCATTTTTAAAAGTTCAGTTGTTTATCCTGCTAGCCAGCCAACCTCTTTATTTTAGTCTCTAGCTTCTGGATGTAATTGATACATTTATTTAATATCCTACTATTATTATTTTTATAAACAACTCAAGGGGACGAACACATGTAATACTCCTTCCTCCTCCTATTTTCCCCACAACAACAACTCTGTGTGGTGAGTTAGGCTGAGAGAAAATAACCAGCCGAAAATCCCCCAGTTGGTTTTTATGGCTAAGGCAGAACTAGAATTCATTGTTTCTGGTTCCTAGTCTGGTGCCTTAACCACTAGACCAAACTCTCTTTCTCCCTCCCTCTCATAATTGCTAGATATACAGAAAGAACTTAAACTAAGCAAAGGACATGTAGATAATCAAGGAAAGTGTTCTCTGTTAAACAGAAATGACATTTAATAAATGTAATCCCCTCCCAAGAACAATAGGGACTGGATTCACTTTCACCTTTTTCTTAACTTCCCTTTAAAAAAAAACCTTAGTGCCTGCAGCTCGCATACACTTTGCCTAAAATTGGAAACACGAACACTTACCGACAGAAAACAAAATAATCACTAAAATTACAGAATGCACAGAAATGGATAAACTTACAAAAGAGTTACAAGAGAAAGATGACACAGAATACTACTTAGCATGGCAAAAATGGTATAACTGGCTGGAGAAAAAGCTAGAAACACATTCATAGGGACACTAAAGAATAAGGTCAATTTAGAGAAAAAATTTTGAGTACCAATTAAGGAGTGAAATAATTTAAGGATGGAACATATATTAATGTTTCACATGTAAATACGTAAATATACAGATATATAGATAAATATATATATGTATTTCCATTTAGCCAGGTTCTACCTACGTAAGCCAAGATGTTATGCTGTCCTGGTTCAGTGAAATCTCATTCACTAGTTTTGGGGCTTTTATTCTTTCTTCTAGCAGCTAAACCTGGCTAAACAGAAATACACATAAAACCTATGAAGAAGAAAGAAAAACACATATTATACCTTTACAGGGAGGATACATGAGATGTGAGTGTGGCTAACTGATGACACCTTATAAGGCAGAAATAGATCTATCTTAGTCTCCCAATGGGCAGCAGGGAGTTTGCTGGCTGCTAGAAGAAAGAATAAAAGCCCCAAAACTAGTGAATGAGATTTCACTGAACCAGGGCTGCATAACATCTTGGCTTACGTAGGTAGAACCTGGCTAAACAGAAATACACCTAAAATTTACGAAAAAGAAAGAAAAACATAAAGATAGATAGATAGATAGATAGATAGATAGATAGATAGATAGATAGATAGATAGATAGATAGATAGATAGATAAAATATATAAACACAAGGAAAATAGTCTACCGATGTGACAACTTTAAGAGTAAGTCGTAAGACTTGATTGATGTTTGTCGGTTTTGTATGTTGTATTGTTGTATTTATATTTGTTTGTATTTTTTTAACTAATAAAAAACTTAAAAAAAACACAAAAAGAACCCCTTAGTGCCAATATGCAGAGTAAAAGAAAAGAAAAATAAGTAGCTGTTAGATACTACCTTTCTTTCCTTTAATGGCTGCCAACGGATGGTCTCTTCTTTTAGAACTATTTAATTATTTGGTAGTAGCAAGATTTATAATCTTTGTAAGAGGAAGTGACAGGTCTTCAAAATTTCCTCAAACAGCCAGTCTGATACAGTTGTATAACTGGTTTTTCTAAGCCAGCCTCCAAATTAGTAAATAATTTTTGCCCAAGTGGGATAGGAGACCAGCTTATTCCTTAGTTGCAATCATCAGTAGTGAATTTGTGCTTGAAGTTGCCCATAGGATAGTTAGCTGAGAGCATTTTTAGCCGGATTCAGACATGGAGGTAGCCATTTCTGCTCTTTACTTCTCAACCTGTTTCTGTAAGTTTAGTTGCAGGTGTTTACTGCAACTCTTGAGGAAAAAATCAGGTATCTGGATTGGGAAAGTAGTTGGAAGGAGTTGTGGATGGCACACCTCCTATACAACAGAATGAATCATCCCAGGATATGGTGATGAGCCCCTAAATGACTCACAACTGGATTGCTGAAGAAGGTGCCTTGAAATAAAACATTCTACATAGCTTTGGAGCAGTGGTGAAATCCACTGCTATTTTTCCCGCTATTTTTCTAGCCAGTCTCACTGCAACGCTTCCGGGCTCTCGACAATATAATCATTCTGTTTGACTATCCTGCTCATGGAATTTGCCTAATCTGTTTTAAAGCCATCTGGACCAATGGCCTTCAACTTATAACCAATGAATTCTACACAGGAATTTTACACAATATAGAAAATGTTGGGGTTTTTTGCTTAAATTCATGAATAAACATGAATGAAGAGTGAACACAATTGCAGTGGTGCATCTGAACCAGCCAAGCAGATTCCACAGTGTGTCTGGGCAGACATCTGTTTTCCCGGCAAAAGGCTCGGTGAAAGTGAGAACTTGATAGGAGCAAAGAAATAGTTAGAGATAGTGAGGATTTTAAAGTTCCTATGATTGATTATGAGAGTCTGGGAACACTTTAACTGTGTTTGGGCACCTATGAGAAGAACAGGAGGAAAAAGAACCAAGGGCTTTTGCTGACTGTGGTGTAAATACACCTCACAGAAGCAATGAGTGATTAATGTATAGAACTGTGTCAGGAAATTCCATAGACAATGACAATAATTGTCTAACACACTTCGTCAAGTTAATTAGGGGAACAAAAGAGAGTTCTTTGTCTTCCAATGAGTCTACTCCTGACTTACTTGATTTTGGGTTTCCCAGAGAAGGCAGGAAAAAGTGATTTTTGTCCCCAGATTCCAAACTATTTGAGGAGATCTCAGTTTCATCTACTCTTTGCCCACTGAAATGTAGTTTCGGGGCTTATAGATTTCATCAATTGGCATTATGCCTAATGGGTGAACTCCAGATGGTCATGAGGTTCCTTCCAATTCACAGGAAACAACTTGATCAGTCATGCTAAGACAGAGTTTTATAATTATAATTTATTACTCAAAACACATGGTTGGTTTTCCACAACTTGCTAAAAATGAACCATGATTTTACCTCTTTTCCTTTGAGGTTCTGAATGTTAGATAATTGGCCACTGGGATCAATTATTTCTTCTCTTTTGGCCAATGAGTAAAATTCAAAAGCACTGAAAGAGGAATTCAGTAAATGCCTTGTCAAGCCCCTACATTCAGAAGTTGGAAAGAACATGCAGTAGATGGCCCTCAGAAAGTGAAGTGAGCATTGTGTGAAAACTTAAAAGGCATCTAAGATGCTTCCATAGCTATCTGACTCATGGAAGTACATTGGAGTGGTCCTCTCTTAAAACATCCCCTGTCTTTTAAAAATATCCATTTCCCCCTGTGTTTTAATCTCTGTGGATCTGTTGTTTTTTGTTACTTGAATGCCTGAAAAAAAATATGGGATTTTTTTATCCCTTAAATATTTGACTTTGGTTAGTTGGGAAACATGAGGAAGGTGAGATAGAAGGAGACCTTTGATTTAGAAGACTTCAGCAATAGAGAGGTCATTGCCTGGAATTCTCTACCCAACTCCGTTGTTACATCCTCTTAACCCCCATAGCTTCAACCTTCTACTATGGACCTCACCCCATTCCTAAGAGGTCCATAAAGGGGGCGTGCATAAGCGCACCAGCATGCCTACTGTCCCTATCCTACTGTCCCCATTTATTTGTACTCGTTACCTGTGCTCATGTCCATGTTTATATTTATACCTTTTACCTTGTACATGTTTGACAAACTAAATATATAAAAATAAAAATAAAATAAAATAAAATTTTATTAAGAAAATGAGATGAGAGAGAGATTAGATAATGGTGGTGATAGATAGATAGATGATGGATGGATGGATGGATGGCTAGATAGATAGATAGATAGATAGATAGATAGATAGATAGATAGATAGATAGATAGATAGATAGATAGATATGATAGCTAACTAGCTAGCTAGCTATATTATTTTATTAAGAAAATTTTTATGACCACCCAATTCACTCGCAGTGATTTGGGACAGATTATAAAAATAAAACCCCAATAAAACCCCCAAATATAAATACACAGATAGATAGACAAATAAACAGATACATAGATAGATAGGAAGACAGGCAGACAAGTAGATTAAATCTTCAATTTCTTTGTTACCGTGTACATTGTAATGTGTTACTGCTTGATCTTTCATTAAGTTCGTCTTTTTGACGTCTGCTTACTGTTTTTAATGATACTTTTCTCAGGTGTCCTTCTCATGTTGTCTGTTTCAGTGCTGACAGAAGTTCCCCTTCTGACATTACAGGCAGAGCAGGGTTGGGTTTACTGCATGTTAGAGCATTTGAAATAGTTTCTATTACCAGTTAAAGAGATCGGCTCCAGAGGTGGTATTCAGCAGGTTCTGACCAGTTCTAGAGAACCGTAGAGAACCATCTATTCTCTGCCTTCCAAGTCCCAGCTGATCGGGAGGAAATGGGGATGTTGTAGTAATCTTCCCCTGCCATGCACACCAAGCCACACCCACCAAGCCATGCCTTACCCACCAAGCCACACCCACAGAACCAGTAGTAAAAAAAATTGAAACCCATCACAGATTGGCTCCTCCTGAAGAAGGCCCAGATGCTGAAATAAAATAGCCTCTTTGGCCCCATGATTAATTTCCCTGAATTTGCAGAAGTGCCACAAGGCAGAACCTCAGGGCTGTTTGACCCACAACATTTCCTTTCCCCCTCACTCTCTCCCTCCCTCCCTCTCTCTCTCTCCCTCCCTCCCCCCCTCTCTCTCCATATTTCTCTACATTTCTATATTTGGGTGAGGACCAAACAGGAAGCTGATTTCACCATGGGAATGATGGTGGAGGATAGGGCAATGAAAACAACAAACCAGTGGGTGGGTTGCAGCAAAGCAAGAAAAGAAGAAAAAAAAAACTCACCAAGAAAAATTCATGCTGGGAATACCTTTTAGCAAACAGAAATCCAACACCACAAGTACAAGTATCATTGAACCTCAAGAAAGGTTACAGAAGACACAGAAAAGATGAGCAAGACACCTAAATGGCCAAGTTCATTTGTTTACACAATCTGTGGACACCTCTGCTGCCCATCCTCCTGAATTCCAGTATTATGAGGGAGGGAGAATAACAATTCCCCATCCTTTCTTTTCATAGCCCACCATGCTTCACTTCATGCACCTCTCCCAGGTCTCTGCTTATCAAACTTTCTCTTAAACTGAGCAGATTTAAGAGATTGCAACCTTTCCTTCACAGCCACAACCATGGCAGCCATTTGAGAGAGTGTGGATAAGAACAGTATGGCATAAAGGGATAGGAACAGGAAGACCCATGTTCTTGTACCTCCCTTCACCATGGACCTCTTCTGCCTGGAATGGGGGAAATTGGGTGGGGGGTTTAATTTACCATCAAATCTCACTGCAAGACTTTGGACCAATCTATCTCTTACTCTTGGGGGGGGGCAAAATGAGTCTTGTGCTGCTACAACTGCGTACCATATAAAAATAATAAAGGTTCTAAATTGAACCTATATTAGGTTCTTGGAAGATGTCTTTGTCCCAAAGAATTGCCAAGACAATTGTATGGGTAATATCATGTCCAGTGCCTGGACAAATCCCTGCATGTTTTTTGGCCAGTTTTTTTTAGAGGTGGTTTGCCATTGCCTGCTTCCTAAGGCTGAGAGAAAATGACTGGGCCAAGGTTTCATGCCCAATTCATGATCTCCCATTTTCTAGCCTGATGTTTAACCACTACACCAAACTGGCCGCTTTGTTACTGTACAGTGTATTTATGTACAATAAATAGCAAGATAAGGATGAATAATTGGCCATTTTAAAAAATGGTTGCCTAAATTTAGCAATATTTAGCAAACAAGCTGGCCCTGTTTGCATTATGGGAAAATTGTTCCAGCTTTATTTTCTCTACTTTCTCCATAATATCTCTGAGGTAGTTTAATAAATCAAACATACTACTCCAAATATAAGGTGACCAGATTTTAACATTGGTAAAGAGGGACATTGTGGGCGTGGCTTATTTTGTGGGCGTGGCTAGCTGGTCATGTGACTGGGTGGGCGTGGCTAGCTGGTCATGTGACCGGGTGGCCATGGCTATGTGTATAGAGTAAGGTAAACAGATTTTAACATTGGTAAGGACACCATTGTGGGCGTGGCTTATTGTGCGGGCGTGGCTTGGAGGCCATGTGACTGGGTGGGCGTGGCTACCTGGTCATGTGACCGGGTGGCCATGGCTATGTGTATAGGGACTACTCAGAGGGCTGAAAAAGTTATTTCTGACAGGTCCTCACACTTTTGACTGGTCCTCACACTTATGACCATCCTCACATTTATGCCCGTGCAGCATTCTTAACAACCATGTCACTCATTTCACAACTGCTTCTCTTCACCATGGTGACAAGATAGGGCAAAAACGTAAAATTTGAGGACAGTCGTAAGTTCGAGGACTGGTCAAAAGTGCGAGGACCAGTCAAAAATAACTTTTTCAGCCCTCCGAGTAGTCCATATGCACAAAAGGACTAACCAGAGGGCTGAAAAAAGTCATTTCTGACAGGTCCTCGTACTTTTGACTGGTCCTCACACTTATGACCATCCTCATATTTATGCCTGTGCAGCATTCTTAACAACCATGTCACTCATTTCACAACTGCTTCTCTTCACCATGATGACAAGATAGGGCAAAAATGTAAAATATGAGGACAGTCGTAAGTTCGAGGACTGGTCAAAAGTGCGAGGACCAGTCAAAAATAACTTTTTCAGCCCTCTGAGTAGTCCATATGCACAAAAGGACTAACCAGAGGGCTGAAAAAAGTCATTTCTGACAGGTCCTCGCACTTTTGACTGGTCCTCACACTTATGA